AGTTCAGGCTGTGAGGTTTTTGTACAGCTCTGCTGCTTGTTTGTGTCACTGTGAGTCTCTGGCACAGTAATACACAGCAGAGTCTCCAGGCTGCATATTCTGTCCATTCAGAGTTGCTGTTTTACTGGAAGAGTCTAAGACAATACTGAACTTGTTCTTCAGTGACTCTTGGTAGAACGTGTGATAAACACTTTTCATCCCAATCCACTCCAGTCCTTTTCCAGCAGGCTGCCTGATCCAAGCTGCATAGTAGCTGGAGAAAGAATAAGAGACCTGGCATGTGATGGTCAGAGTTTGACCTGGCTGCACAGTCAAAGAGGCCGGCTGTGTCAGCTGTTCACACTTCACCCCTGTGGATAAAAGAATAAATTCATTCAACTGACATTGCAAATAAACTCACTGTGCCCATACAGTGTTTTCATCAGTGAGACTCACAGGATGCAGCAGCCAGCAGCAGCAGCAGAGCTACAGAGGACATGTTGGTGTTGAAGGTGATGGGAGTTTCTCTTCTCCTGCAGCTCACAGCATCAGATCAAGTCTTTAAAGCAGAAAGTTAATTTGCATAATTAACCACGAGCCTGTCTGTGTTTCTGCATGTTATGAAGGTATTAAATGTTTGATTGTAAAACAATTAAATATTTTGTTTTTTGGACTTTCGTATATGGTGTCCAGGGTGTACCATGCCTCTCACCCGTTGACCACTAGAAATAGGCACCAGCCTCCCTTGAAACCCAGCAAGGAAAAGAGAGATAATGGATTTAAGGATGGACTGTTGTATTGAATGTGTAGGTCCTAAAGAGTTTTCATTTTTCTCTCCTTCTCATATGACAAATGAAAGAATTGTAATAAAGCTTCCATTTGTCAGTAATTTCAAATGGCTTTATTGTTTAATTTATTTTTATTTATTTGTTTAATTATATTTCACATTTGTAGCTTTGTGTTGACATTTGTTCTTGCATTATAAGGAGCTGTAATCAAACTCCTGTGTCCTCCAACATTTTTTTTTCTTACTATGCACCTTTGTTCTATATTTCAAAACTTTACAATACTTCTTGAACTGTGATATATTAAACCTTTTAATCTTAAGCATTAATTTTAACCATTTTATGAGGATGTCTTTCCTGTCCACCAAATGGTAGTTAATCCATCCATCCATCCATTTTCCTTCACCCTTGTCCCTCAGTGGGGTCGGGAGGGGTGCCGGTGCCTATCTCCAGCTAACGTTCCGGGCGAGCGGCGGGGTTCACCCTGGACAGGTCGCCAGTCTGTCGCAGGGCAACACAGAGACAAACAACCATGCAGATACACACTCACACCTAGGGGCAATTTAGACAGACCAATTAACCTAACAGTCATGTTTTTGGGACTGTGGGAAGAAACCGGAGTACCCGGAGAAAACCCACGCATGCACAGGGAGAACATGCAAACTCCATGCAGAAAGACCGGGGCCGGGAATCGAACCCAGAACCTTCTTGCTGCACGGCAACAGCTCTGGTAGTTAATCAGGGAGCAAAATCTTTTACAATTGTATGTATTTTTATTTAATTTATTTATTTGTTGTTTTTCATACATGAGTTAAACTAAAGCTTTTTATTTTAGTTTGTTGTGTGTTGAATTACGTGAGTCTCAAGGGTCAGCTATTTGAAGAGGGTCATAAAGCTTTTATTGATTGTCTTCTTAGTTGACTGGTGTTTTGCTTGTTTGATTTTTTTTGTTTGTTTTATTTTTCTTTTTTTTCAACTTCTGATTTGGTATGACATAATGTTTTGGTTCTTGACTTATGTATGTGGAACAAAGAGGCTATCTTATATTGAAATCAAATTCACTAGATGTATTTACATCTAATATAATGGTGAAAAATATGTAAACCATTCAACTATCTAATTTCAGTGTTAGTTAAAATCAGCATGCAGTTTTTATAATTACATTACATGTAATACAATAAATAAATAGATTTGTCATAAAGTAACGTGAAGGGCCTGTAGCATTACTAGAAAAAAAGACCACGCTGAAAAATCAATTTATTAAAGGTCAAATAATTGCAGAATATAACTGTAAGCTACTTATTTTAAACAGTTTCCAAAGCTGTGTAAAATGTTTATAATAAATGCAAAAATGTAACCCATTTCCTGTTAAATATATTAATTTAATTGTCCAAAAGTGCCTCCTCTGGTCAATATTTATAGAGCAGGTGTTCAGGTCATGAGGAGTTTTTGTACAGCTCTGCTGCTTGTTTGTGTCACTGTGACTCTCTGGCACAGTAATACACAGCAGAATCATCTGGCTGCATATTCTGTCCATTCAGAGTCACTGTGTTACTGGAGCCATCCAAACTGATGCTGAACTTGTTCTTCAGTGAATCCTTGTAGTATTCTCTCCATCCAATGCGTTCCATCCCAATCCACTCCAGTCCTTTCCCAGCAGGTTGTCTGATCCAAGCTGTATAGTAGCTGCTTACAGAATAAGAGACCTGACAGCTGATGGTCAGACCTTGACCTGGTTGCACAGTCACAGAGGCTGGCTGGGTCAGCTGCTGACACTTCACACCTGTGAAAGGAGACCATTTAAAATTTCTACCAGCAGGGAATCATCGTGGTGTGATTTTTGTATCACTCTTTGTAAGACTCACAAGATGCAGCAGCCAGCAGCAGCAGCAGCAGAGCTACAGAGGACATGTTGAAGATGATCTGATGGGAGTTTCTCTTCTGCAGCATCAGATGAAGCCTTTAAAGTAGGACACTTCATTTACATAAACACCCTGCCAGAACTTTTAGAGATCATCATAATATCTGTTCATTCAGTTTTTCAAGCAGTAAGACGCATTCTTTTTGCAAAGTTAACACTCTTGGTTACAAAAACAAAATACTGTGTTTGCTGTTTATTTTCACAGCTACAGGCATTGT